TCATTTTGCCTGCAGTAAGGATAACAGCAAAATAATTGTTGCTGCATGTGACCATAAAATAGCAATACATTGGAATATTTATTTTGTGCTTTCTTTCAGGACAAAGCATCCAGTGAGACCATTTTACACTAAATAATAAAAGAGTTATGATCTGTGGTTCAAATCTGAAAGGTTTTAGTTTTCAGGTTTGTCTCTAGTTTTTGTGAATTGAAATCTGCAAGGTTTTATTTTCTAAGAGCAGATCGGTGAGCGAGTTTGGCAAGAACTATTCTGGAAAATCACAAATGCAGTCATGCGAGAAGCAATCAGCGATAAGCTTTGTTGAAGCTACGTGGACAACCAAAAAGAGCAGACCTTAATTTTCTTGCCCCTTGTATATTTCTAACATACCTTTGCAACCATTGGCTCACGTGGTAACTCTGGCACGGAACAATCCTTGTTGACTTGACTAGAATTCTGGGTATGTGCCCCCTGCATATTTGTAACCTTAGAATTTAAGACATTCGAATGTACTTACATGGTATATTGTAGCTTAGAAATTAGAAATAAGGGTTGTGCTCCCTTCTAATTCCTGTAGCTGCATCTCATAGCTACAATAATGTAGAATCACAAACAAGCAGGGTGAAGAAAGGTTAGTGTTACCTGAACAGATTTTTCTGGAGAGTACGCATTATCATTGTCGATCTCAATACCATCATCGCTACATGCGCCATGGGTACTGTCATCACTACAGTCTTGCTCAGTATCAGTCTGACCATCCAAAAACATACGCTTAGTTACAAGATATGAATAAACTCATTCCTAAGAGAGAGAGACATAGACAGGGACCCCATGGAGGCTTACTTCATCATGTAGAGCTCTTTCCATTCTTTTTAGCAAATCATCATCTGGGTACTTTTGTGACACAAAAGCAAGCCAAAGTTTCATAGCACCACTCATGCATTGCATCTTATTGTCCATTGTATTCACTTTGTCATGGTACCTTCTTTCTTCTTCAGTTTCAGTAACAAGAGTAATACCTTTAGAAACTTGCACTTGACTCCAGTACTTATCATCGTAGTACCCACGTGCTTTTAATTGTTTAGCAACAATCTCGTTGAACATCTCATTAAAATCTCGTTGTTCTGCTCTTTTCTTTTTTCTAATTCCTCAAATGATGCATCCTATCGAAATAAGCATATAGCAAGGTCACATAATCATAACAATAACTCCAAATCGAATCCACAAGTAGCAGAAAAATATACCATTACTAATTTCACTTTGTTGGTGCTGTATCTCCCACTCTTTTTCTTATGAGCAGCGTCCCATAATTCTATCCTATGAACCTTTCCTTTCCTTCGATCTTCCTGCACAAGATATTAAAATTGAGAATCCAATCAATTCTATTACATGATCATTGAATTTTACCCATAACAACAGTTAGAATATATATCACCATCTCTTTCTTCAGTCTAGCATGGCTTTTCCTCCCCGTTGTATGCGTATTCTTCTGTTCTTTTGCACACAGAGAGTTTGGTGCACACAATTTCTGTAAACATAGCAAAATTGTAAAGCACAAATGTTACATTACTTTCTTTCAAATTTCTTGTAAATGTTAGATAAAAAGATATCACCTTATGTGCTTCTTGACACCAAAAGCTAACAAGAGGTCTCCACTGATGTTCATTACCAGTTATTGGTCTACCTTGTATAATTTGTTCTAGAGATCTCTGTTCAGGATTGAAATGTTCTTTCTTCAACTTAGATTTGTAGGCTCGCCACCTATTGTTTTTCTGATTCTTAAGATCCAATCTCTTGTAAGCCGTAGCGCTTTGTCTAGGAAAGACAAATTTTGACTGTACAAAGAAAAAAAAGTAAATAGTTGATGATTGGAACAAACAATAGTGTACTTTTCTAGCATTGTACAGATTACATTTACCTCAACATCCATGATTACTAGTTCCTTGTGTTTATTGAATAGAACATTGTCCCATCTTTGAATGTGTAATGGCGCAAATGTTTGTGTTTGTGCTAGATCACCAAGGTGTTGTCCAAGAACAGAGGCTGACCTTTCGTTTGGTACACCATTTTCATCGGTCCCTACAATTACCTTTCCTCCTTTTAGTTTTGATAAGTCTGAGACTCCAAAATCTCCTAAAACTTGTCGCACCTGTCCATTAGGCCCTACATGTATGAAATTATATTATTTGACATTGTATTTAGATGTGTCACCAAAACAAAAATCAAACTTACATATTATCTTGATTGGACTTGCACGTCGGTTTGGCATGTGGGCTAATATATTGTCAACATCTGGAGGACCTTGTAAATTCTCCTCAATCTCATTATCTACCAAATCATCAGGCTCCTGTTGCTCATGTCTTTCATCTTGTGCTTCAAGGTGCAAGTTTCTTAATCGTTGAGGTCCTCTTGCCATGATTTCTCTGCAAAAAGAGCGCAGTTTTAGTTTGCTACTCAACAAACAGATAACCAAGAAAAGTTTCAATGCTGATCGTAAATCACATAGTGCACTCATAAGATGTCGCACGGAACCAACACAGTGAGAACCATACATACAGAGGGGGAAATGAAGAACATGAATCTTTCTGACAGGAAAAAGAGAGATGGATAAGTATAAATTTGTAGCGGCGATCATGCTCTAGTAATCTACACAATGGGATCATTAGATTTTCACAGAGTGACAAAACCGAATAAAGAGAAGTCATAGAGCCAAATAATTACTCCATACAAAATCCAGGAGTCAAATAACAACTCCATACAAATTCGGAGAAATCGTAGAGCCAAATAATTACATATAGTTAATAGATGTTTCATGGAGTAAATTTAGATCAATTTTATACAAAATCGTTTAACACTAAAATACAAACAGAATCATAAACAATGTTATATGTTTTCATATAAGAAATAAAATTGTCTTTTTTATAAGAATTGTTCAGAGCTCATAACTGAGGTTGAGTCCTATGTTCATGAAAGAAATTCTACTAAATTCACATGTACATGTTTCGATCTATCATAAATAAATGTGTTCTAGACAAAAAGGACATGGATCAAAATATGCATACGTCAACTATTTAAGATGTGAAAATCATAGACTCTACGGTACTTTATTTTAGAGACAAAATCTAATACTGCAGCAGGAAGCAGGCAGTAGTGGCACCGGGCACCGCAGGGGCGGGACAGTCGGCCGCGCCAGCTGCTTGGTCGGGTACAAATGCACGCGTTCACAGAGGCTGGACTGCCTGAAGCGAGAATAACAGAGAGAGAGCGGCGGGACGGGCCTCGGCAGTGGAGCCCCAGCTCTGGCTGTAGCTGCTTGCCGCCGGTCTCTCTCGATCTGGGAGGCGCCGGAGAGTGGAGATCAGGTGAAGGCCAGGAGGGAGAGGCTCACCGATGGCGAGATCGGGACTAATCGACGACCAATGGGATGGCTCGCGCCGTCCGAGCCAGCGAGCCTTAGGCGATTGATGCGTCGGCGTCGAGGAATTTAGGGTGCGGGTGTGCCGCCTTGGCAGCGTCTTTCGGTCTCGCAAATGTGGAGACGGGAAGGAGTGGGGGAGGTTAATAGATGCGTTTTTTCCGTAATCTCACGCCGTGGGGGTGATCTAGCCGCGAAATTAAAATGTTCGAGCCCTCCACTATGCGGCAAGTTTTTTGCAATTGTACACTACAAAATAGGCGGCAAGACAAAATACGTTCATACGAAATTCCGATTGTAATTATCTTGTATATATATATATATGTTAATGAATATCTATGAACTTTTCCAAATCGGATCTTTTGCTGGTTTCATGTTTTTGGAATATTGTTTGTATATATGTGGAAGTACCACCAAATTTGTTTTAATCTCCAACAATATTCATATTGTTTTGAAATAATTTTCAAAAAAATAGCAAAAAAATTTTCAAGAAAATATGTTTTTTTAGAAAGGCGGCAAGAGATTTGCCGGATTTTTATTAGACGAGCAAAAAGGAACAAGAAAAAAGAATTACAACAAACAACGGGGAGACCAAGCTCACCGCCACCACGGCACACCGGCCGACAACCCTACTAAATACCCACCTGAACGACAACTTAAAGTCTAGAAAAATAGCCTGAAGCCGAAAAAACGCAAAACTAGACCAACTGAACAGTGATCAACAAATACTAGAACTACTCCTGTTGTGGTCCATCATGAAATCTTGTTGCCAACTGGTATTGCTCTATATCTTCCTTGCAAAGGAGTGCCACCTGACTAGGCTGCAGTGACTTGTTCTGAAATGTTCTTCGATTCCTTTCCTTCCATAAATTCCACCAAAAATAGATCATAATACCATCAAACGCCTTTCTCTGATCTTTGTCTGTCTTAATTCTGCACTTTCGCCAGTATTTGTGCAGGGATCCTGTCATTCCGACATTATCAATCACCGATAGGCTGAACCATCGCTTGATGAAGGACCAAACTTGCCTTGAGAAAGTGCAGTCCTTGCAAAGATGTGTCGATGTTTCCGGGTCAATACCACAAAGCTTGCATACTGGGTCATTTGACCAATTTCTTTTAATCAAATTGTTTGCCGTTAGGATTTTTTTATGCAGCAAAGTCCAAGCAAAAAATCTACATTTGGGTTCCGCCTTTGCTTTCCAAATCGGTTGAAGTTTCAGTTTGCTGAATGTGCCCTAGAATTGAATACAATAAGCGCTTTTGGCTGTGTATTCCCCATCCACCGTCCAACGCCAGCGGATGCTGTCCTTCCCCAAGTTCTCGGTCATGTGCTTACTAATCCAAGGCCGAAGGCAACGAGGCCAGTAGGCACAACGCCGAAGGCTCAATGGCCAGCAGGCGTACAACCACATAAGTCTCAAAGGTTCGAACATGGGCATGACAGCCCCAGGCGTGACAGCCCCGAAGAAGCCACACAGGGCTCTACTAATACGACGAAACCTACGATACATAGGGCGTATCGCCCTAAACCCCTTGCTTGAAGGGGTTAACATTGATTACTTGATCCCCTCATGACCAGCGCCTAAGCCTCCATGGCCGGAGCCACGGCAGCCTTCTTCTGGATGGCGCTTGTCTTCTGCTTCTTGGCTTCCTGCTCAATGAGCATCTTGATGGCCTCCATCTTGGCACTTTCGATTGGCTGGTCAAAGTGCTGCACATAAAAATCGATGTCAAGGGTATCTTGAGTAGTGTCCTCACCCGACAGTTCCCCTAGCTTCTTTACTAACAATTCTTGGGCAATCTGAATCGCATCTTTGCCCGAATGTGCAGCAGCTTTCTTTGATAGTCTAGTGCTTTTTCTTTTACTTGAGTTTGGTGGTGGACTGATATTCCAACTTTTATTTGTGGTGCTCTTGGTGTGAGTGAATGGTGTGTGCAGCCCCCCGCTAATAAAGGTTGCATAATGGGTTTCGAAATTGTATCTAAGAAACTGTCAATCAGTGTAAAGTTGTTTTCAGAGTTGTTATTGTTTAACTCTCGGCTAGACTGATCATCAATGGAAACAGATTGATTGACATAATCTTGCTGGATGTGCGCAGATGTGGGCTCAGGTGGCACAGGTATTGTATACGTGTTATGACTAGTCTGAGCAACTGTGGATGTCTCTGGTGACAGAGCTTGGCTTTCAACTGACATAATAGGCGGATCTAAACTACTCTGTGCTTGCAAGGAAACTGTAAGTTCGGGCAGTTGTACAGTAGGAGAGCTCACCACCATGCCGTGAAGCTGATCCGCCTGCAGACCCATGCAAAGGTTGGTGATGACGTGCTGCACCACTTGCTCCTTCTCCACTGCTGCCTGATTTGGAATAATGTCGTGATTTAATCTTATAAAATTCGTACGATCTATGGTTGGAATTATTTGAATTTTATATGGTCTTTTAAATTAAAAAACCTTAGCCAATTAAAATAACAAAATTATTCGTAGGCGAGCCCAATAAGCACAATGGTTGAGTCGGTTCACATAATAAACAAAGAGCTCGTCCAAGAGAGAAGACCACGTCGGCCCAAACGAGAAGTCGACTCATCCACGACCATCTGCACTGGAGTGGGCACGGCCGGCGAGGGCGCATGCAGGCGCGACCGAATTTGCGACCCAGGACGAATCTCCCTCTCCTGAGCGGCGCAGGAACGGCAGACGAGATCCCCGAGCGGCGGCGCCTACGCTGGGGGTGACCTTGGCACCGTCTGCAGCGGCGAATCTAGACTAAACTGCGGCCGGGGTAGCACATATTTATGAACTCAATCTGATGGGGTCGTAGCTGGCCGGAATACGCGGGGTTCCACTGATTCGTACAAAGTTATCGGGGTCGCATGACCCCGACACATGCACTGTGGCTTCGCCGCTGACCGTCTGCAACGGACGCACACAAGCAGCACGGGGCGGCGCCAGGCGAGGACGATGGCGAACGTCCTGCCCGGGCCCAATGGATGAACCGATGCAAGATCTTGCATCGACTCATGTCTCTCTCGTAGTCCGAGTCTGTGTACCCCACCTCCGTCCGACGATGGCTTGAGGACACCGACGCCGACTGTCCGTACGTGTTCAAGACTCCAAGCTGACAACCGAGTGCCGAGCGACCGTCGACCAAGCAAAAAAATTTGGACCCACCACTAGAGCAGTAGCTCATGCTCAGATTCAATGGCGGGTCAAACACGTAGCCCAGATAGACGCAAGACTATCATGAAATTTGCCCAAGAATCTACTATTACTTATCATTTTAAGGCCCACGAGTATTGTTTTTTTCCCTCAAAACAATTCAAGGTCCACGTGTGAAAGCGTCCTCAACTATGGAAGCATGCTTCTTTTAGCAGAACTACGGAAGCATGCTGGCTGGCCAAATGTTTCACTGGCCGTATCTAATATGGCCCATACGTGCCGGATACACGTATCTAAGTGAATACGTATCCAATATTTTGAGTACGGCCTGGATACGTATCCATGGCTTATCCGAGGCCTATCTGTATCCGTGGCGTGCGTGTCGGATACGGGATATCCGCGCATCACAGCCCATGCCCCGTCGGTCGACCCCGGACTCCCCGAGCCCCTCGATCGGTGCCGCTTCTTTCCTTCTCGATCTGGTACAAGGAGCGTGGTGAGCACCAGAGAGGCGGCGGGTCGGCTTTGCGGTAGCTCCCTCCCCTGCACCCTGCACCCTGCGCACCTGTGCCTCTGCCTCTGCCTGCCGGACGACAGAAGCCGCCGGTAGCCTTCGGCCATCGGCCCGTCGCATCTCGCGGCCATCTGGTGAGTGGTGAATATGTGTGTCTGTTGTTACTCTGTTTACTTAGTAGATACATGTGCTCGAATTAAAACTGGTGATAAAATTATTTGTGAATTTGGGGAATATGTGTCTGTGAAGCAAATTGAATTTGGAAGGCAAAAGAAGATGCAATCTAAATAGCTCAAATTATATACCGTCGGGTCACATTGAATTAACCATGAAACTGAGCCTTCTTAACACAGGGTAATCAAACCTGCTAATATTCCATTGCACAAAATGGCTGTAGCTTAACTCCATCTTATGCTGCACAGTGTTTATAGAAACTTTTTGCATATAGCTGTACAGAAGTCAATATTCCATTATATACAAGTAACAGTGGCAAAAGGTCTGTACTGGAATTATGTCGACAAGGGAAAAAATCATTGAGAAAATATGGACTACTAAAGAAAATATGCAATGCAAAATCTGGGTGCTGCATTGCAGAAGTCTGTAGATCAACAGAATATTATTTGATGGTTATTGCTAAGCTGAATGAATCAAATAAGAAAGACAAGAAGGGGGAAAGCAGTCCTGGCTTGCACCCCCCACCTGATTACTATAAGATTAATTGTAGTGATGCCTCCTCCTTATGCTATGATTCCATGAAAGGAGCAGGGGATTCCATTGCCCGTAACTGCAGCAGAGAGAGTTCTGGAAACTTGCAATTGCAGACTCTCTACATGACTTTCTTTTTTTCTAAAGTGGAATAATTGCAGACTCTCAAAACTCATATTGTATGGTTTAATTCACTACTGATATTAATCTGCCTCAGATATGCTTTCTTTTTACTAAATGTCTAAACTTTGTATATTTTTATGCCTTGTGTTAATGTGAAATTGTGTCATCGTTTTCATTTAGTCATGGTTGAGCAAGTTGGACTCGATCATGGTTAGTTTGAGTACTCAAATTAAGGAAGTTAGTTCATCTACCATAGAAACTAATAATCTTAATTAATTTTGTTGCTGCTAGTCAAGTACTATTTTTCGTACTCAAACATGTCTTGCAAAAGAAAAAAACTGATTGATTTCATTTCATTCTTACTCCTTGTTAGAGGGTCATGGATCGAAGTTGGATGAGTAAGCCAAGACAGGATACTGCATATCAAGATGGTGTTGAGCAATTTTTGACTTTCGCTTACATCGGACATTCCACGTGATAGCGAGATACTTTGTCCTTGCAAAAATGCAAAAACAGATTAAACCATAGCCATGATGAAGTCAGGACACATTTGAGATGTGATGGTATTATTCAAGGTTATCGACCTGGGTTCATCATGGAGAGATGTATGAAAGTCCACAATTTGCATTTGTTGACGTGCCAACTGACACTACAAACTTGCCTACTTGGGTGTCTCAAGGGCTCCTGCAGTACAAGATGGCATGCAAGAACTACTTCAAGCTGCCTTTTTCAGGAATGAAATGTTTGAGTCACTACCAAGTATGTCTGAAGGTGTAGTAGATGTTGAATCAGGATTTGCAGATATGGAACAAACTGTAGCTGAGGATGTGCATCCTGCAGATGACAATGCTAAGGAGAGTGAACAGAATCTATATGAAAGATACTTGAAGGATGCACACACAAGCTTATATCCTGGGTGTAAATTTTCTAAGTTGTCATTTTTGGTAAACTTATATCACTTAAAATGCTTAAATGGCTGGACACAAGAATCATTTACAAGACTTCTAGGTGTGCTATCTGATTCATATCCTCCTCATGTAGACCTACCTAAGACATATTATCAAGTGAAGAGAATCATCCGTGCTTTAGGCCTTGACTATGTGAAAATACATGCTTGCTCCAAAGATTGCATGCTTTTCCGAGGAAGTTCAGCTAAGAAAGATTTTTGTGATGTGTGCCAGAGCTCTCACTGGAAAGATTTTAAGAAGAATGGTTCTACAGTTAGACCTAAGAAGAAAAAGAAACCAGCGAAAGTGTTGCGCTATTTTCCATTGATACCGAGGCTCCAAAGGTTATTTTCAACTACAAAAACTTCAGAAGACATGAGATGGCATGAGGACGGACGCACAAAAGACGGAAAAATGCGACATCCAGCGGATGGTGAAGCTTGGGAAGATTTTAATCGTAGATATCCTAAATTTGCAGCAGATGCTCGTAATGTACGCCTTGGTCTTGCAAGTGATGGATTTAACCCTTTTGGGAATATGAGTTCAAAGCACAGTACATGGTCTGTAATGCTGGTTCCTTACAACTTGCCACCTTGGATCTGCATGAAGCAAACATCCTTACTGTTGTCAATGATCATTCCTGGACCGGATTCTCTGGGGAATGATGTTGATATATACTTACAACCCTTGATCGATGAGCTCTTAGAATTATGGAAAGGAGTGCAAACATGTGATGCCTCTTCTCGAAAGAAATTTCCTCTGCGAGCTGCACTATTGTGGACTATAAATGATTTTCCTGCATTAGCTTACCTATATGGCTGGAGCACAAGTGGTACATATGCATGCCCATCATGTGGTCCAGCAACAAAATCATTTCACCTGAAGAATGGTAAAAAGATGTGCTATATGGGACATCGTAGGTGGCTCCCGCAGAACCACATATATCGAAGGCAAAAGAACCAGTTTGATGGCATGGTAGAGGTTGGACTTGCTCCTGAAATAATGAGTGGTACTTCTATTTTAAAAATGTTAGAAGGTAGAGTTTTTGTTTTAGGGAAAAAGGACCTCACAACAAAGAATACAAAGGGAAATAACAAAGGAAAAAGAAAGGAAAGCAAGGTGATGAAAGCCATCAGAAATCCAAGCGTAAAAGAGGACAAAAGAAACAGAAAGATGGGAACAATGGCAAGAAGGAGAAGAAGCCAGAAGATTGGTTGAAAAAGCGGTCAATATTCTTTCAGTTACCATACTGGGAAAAGAACAAACTAAGGCACAATCTAGATGTGATGCACTTAGAGAAAAATCTATGTGACAACTTAATTGGAACTTTAATGGATATTCCTTCCAAAACAAAGGATGGTCTTAAAGCACGACTGGATTTAGTGGAACTTGGAATTCGACACAATCTTCATCCTGTGGTAGACAATGAAGGAAAGCAAACTGTGCCTGATGCACCTTTTACCATGTCTAGAGAAAAAAAGGAGGTTCTCTGTTCAGTATTCCAAAACCTAAGAACACCTGATGGCTATGCATCAAACATTTCTAGGTGTGTTAACATGAAAGATTGTACATTGACTGGACTAAAAAGTCACGACAATCATGTTTTACTACATGACATCCTTCCGGTGGCACTCCGATCCTGTTACCCCAGCAAAGATGTCATGGAAATAGTTATTGGAATATCTAATTTCTTTAAGAAGTTATGCTCGAAGGTGATAGATACTGATGAGCTACAAACCCTTCAAGAGAGTATTGTGGTAACACTCTGTAATATGGAGAAAATTTTTCTACCATCATTTTTTACTGTGACAGTGCACTTGATGGTGCATTTGGTAGAAGAAGTTAGACTTGGTGGCCCCGTTCACTACCGGTGGATGTACCCCATGGAGAGGTATGTAATTACATTTTGCAGGGTTATTGTCAATAATTTGTTCAACTAACAACAAGTGTTCATGATTTCATTTAGATTTTTTGTTCAGCTTAAAGCGCTTGTGAAGAACAGAGCTCAGCCAGAAGGTTCGATTGCTGAAGGGTATTGCATGGAGGAGTGCATGACATTTTGTTCCAGATTTCTTGATGGAGATACTCATTTTAACAGACCGGTTAGAAATCCCGAACCTTCAGGCAATATGAAAGATATGTACATGTTTGAGAGTGCTGGAGAACCAATTGGAAAAGCTACTGTAAGCCATTTTGATAGCCAGCTTCTTATCCAGGCACATCGATACATGTTGCAACACTGCGATGAACTTGAAGAATTCCGCAAGTGTGTACTATAATTTCTCTTGACTCTATTTTAAATTTTTATTATGTTGAAGCCATCACTGTATAACAAATAATCCATTGTTGTAGAGAGTCTGTGGATGAGGAGAAAGGAAAATCGTGTCCTTCAACTACTTTGACTCTGGCTTCCATCGATAAGTTGATAGACCAGCACTTCCCTGACTGGTTGGAACAGAAGGTAGTACAACTGAAATAGCTTATTAGGCGAGGAGTCTAATAGAATGAATTGATCTAATAATTAATTTCTTCACTACAGGTTATCCTAGGTGATGGACTAGGAATCACTAAAAAAGTTCGAGCTTTGGCTGCCAAACCGAGCAAACATGGTGTGAGATACAACGGCTATATTATTAATGGTTTCAGGTTCCACACACTGAGTCGTGAGGCTGCAAGGTCGACACAAAATAGTGGTGTAGTGAACATTGCAGAAGATGGGGTTAATTATTATGGCAGATTAACAGATATAATAGAACTGACATACACTGACTACAAGGTTGTTCTTTTCAAATGTGATTGGTATGATGTCCATCATCGTGCTGGTTTACGAAACGATGAGTTTGGATTACCACTTGTGAATTTTTTAAAGAAAATACACACTGGGGAAAAACTGGAGCATGATCCCTGTGTCTTTTCTTCACAAGTGGAGCAAGTCTTTTATGTTGAACACCCAAAAGCTGAAGGATGGAATTCTGTGGTAAGATTTAAGCCACGAGATACTTTTGACATGGGTGATGATGAACTGCCACCGGATGAAGCAAATTAGACTAACTGGGTTTCAGGTATTATCAGGCTTTTTTTTGAGAGTATGTGGACAATTGAGTGACACTAATTTTGACATACATAAATATAATAATAATTATTCAGGTTGCACTTATTACAAGGCATATTTGTTTCAGGTTACTCTTGTCTATGCAGGAGGGTGTGTGTTGCTCTGTTTCACCCAGGTGATGGATGTGTTCCTGCATGATGGATCGAAGAGCATCTTAGTTTCTGTAGGCTGCTAGCATGTGTTTTCTTTGTAATATGTTTTTTAAGAAGTTTCATTTACAATTGGTGGTCTAAGTGAGAAATCAATGCCATTCACATGTAATGCTTGAATTATTGAGAAATTGAGTCCAGTAATTTATAGATTGGTCGTATGATTGAGAAATTGAGGTTAGTCATATGATTGAAAAAGCAGCATGTGTTTTCTTTTGCTTGAATCTTTGAGTGAAAATTATGAAATTGTTGAGCGTGTGAAAATTTTGGAAAAATATGGGGAAAAACATGTATTTTATTTGGCTTGAATTGTTGCGAGAAAATTATGGAATGTTGAGTGTGAGAACATTTTTTTATGAATAATATGGAAAAAATACAGGCAAGGAAGTTTTGACCTCCTGACCACGTGTAGAGAATTAGGGAAAGGTTACCACAACACTACATGTTCAAAAAAAGCATTTTTAGATAGTTATTGACGGTAAGCTGATACACTTTATCACGTATCTACAAGCATGTAATGGTCAAATAGAGTCTCTAATTTTGTGGTAGCTTGATATGTTTTTATTATCGTATCAAAAGGTGTCTTTACGTGCCTATAAACAATTGTTTGATACGTTCTATGATGTGTCTAGATGGTACAAACGATATGAAGCATCTCTATATCTGTAACGTTTTGTGGCGTTTTTAGTATCGTGTCAATTAGTGTGTTTAGATATATATGGACGGTGTTATGACACACTTTATAACGTGTCTAGACGCTATTGACGATTAAAAGCATGTCTAACACCGTGTCATTTTGATACATTTCCAAAATCGTCTCGAGAAGTGTCTTTACATGTCTTGTAACAGTGAAAGCGTGTCAAATGTTGTATCCAGTTGACACGTTTCCAAAATCGTGCTTAGAAGCGTCGTTACGTGCCCATGTACATACGCTTTCAACCAGCGTCACAAAGAAAACGTGTCTAGAGGGGGGTGTTTCTTGTAGTGTATGCATGTAGGATACTATAGAGGAGGAGGAGCAGTTGCTACGGTGGCACCTGATGGGGGAGCTGAGGGAGCTTTGACAATGGTCTTAGAGTAGGCCTTGGTATAGAGGCATCCATGATGTCATGGACGGTCAAATGCCACCCCGCATCAACAATGGTAGCAGACCTAATATTTTTTATGTTCTGATTGTATTCTTACAGGCGGCGCTAAGCCACTACTAGTGTTTCTGATTATTAGAGGCCTAGGTGAGTGACCACCCCCACCTCTAGAAATCTTCTTTGCCCATCTCTGAAAAGCTAGTTTGTAGTATTGATACTCATACCAGGTATTGATTCATAAATAGGTAAATATTTCTATAACTTGATTACCAAGAGAGAGATCAATGGATTAGAAGAGAGAGCTCGATTGATTTACATGATAGCTCAATTTGGTGTAAGAAACAAGGCATTCAATAAATTGTACCATATAATGCTAGTTCACAATGGTAGTCTTTAGGGTGCAATTACTACAAAATCAATTTTCAGCAACTATCAAAATATACTTTTAGATGTGGGTATCACAACTCTTGCCACCCAATGGTCTCAAGAAATCAAGCAATTTTAGAACTGATGTCACATTCTCCACTAGAAATTTATTTATAGGGCAGTCAATAACACCAATCACCACTTGAAATCAATTTCCAAGGCGGTCGGCAAAGTTCAAAAAGGCGACGCTACGGGGTAGGTGGGTACTTAGGTGGCGGCCAACTGTTGGCGGCAAAAGGAGGCCAGATCCTCCAAGGTAGGGACGCATGGGGGCGGCGTGGAGGTCAGGCGACAATGGGGATGGAGGTAACGTGGGGCAGCGGCGACCGGTCGGGGAAGAGGTGACGTCAGGCGATCACAGCAGACAGATCCACCAAGGCAGGCACGCGTGGGGGCGACATGGACATCGGACGACGGTGGGGGGAGGAAGTAACATCGACGGGGGCGGGGGCAGGGGCGGTGGTGGCCGGTGGGGAAGTAGGCAGCGGCGTGAGAGAGATGGGCAGACGTGAGCAGAGGAGTTCGGGTCTTCGGGAGGGAGAGAAAGAGAGAGGAGAGACCAGGAGAGGAGAGATAATAAGGGGATAAGATGTTGGTGGGGGTTACAGGCTTAAACATGAGACTTGGGCTTTTAACTGGGCCTTCTTCTCCTCTTTCTCCCCAAAATTGACCACTTATCTCCTATTTTTTTCTTTTCTTTTAAGTATATATGCTTGTATTAGTCACCGCTTAGCCATCGCCTTGGAAACGCCTAGGCTCACCTAGGCTCTAGGCCATGGGTCATCGTCTAGATACCGCCTAGCGCCTTCTTGAACTTGGGCGGTCTGTAACGTGGTCCAAATCATTTTTTATAAATTTAGAAATCTTGGTAAAAATAGTGAAAATGTGATTTTTCGTTTGCAAAATGCAATCATGCGTAAACTATGATTCAAAACCATGACATCTTACCATGCACATGACTTCCCCACCACCACACCACATAGTCACATCTACCCTACTAATTCACCAACTTTTTCTTTCCTACATCCACACAAAAAAACGTCCCCCGTTGAGAAGCCTCTATTCCATCCACCTAGAAAAGTGTACCCAGAAAAACAATACCTTTAAAATGGATTGTCTAGATTTATTCTAAAGGTGTCATTTTTCTGGGTACACTTTTCTGGGTGGATGGATGAGAGGCTTCTTAGCGGGGAACGTTTTTTTGTGTGGATGTAGGAAAGAAAAAGTTGGTGAATTAGTAGGGTAGAATCCACACAAAAAGCGTCCCCGCTAAGAAGCCTCTATTCTATCCACCCAGAAAAGTGTACCCAGAAAAACGACACATTTAAAACGGATTGTCTAGATTTATTCTAAAGGTGTAGTTTTTCTGGGTACACTTGTTTGGAGGGGATGGATGAGAGGCTTCTCAACGTGGAACGTTTTTTTGTGTGGATGTAGGAAAGAAAAAGTTGGTGAAGTAGGGTAGATAGATTCTCTCTCCTTACTCAAATCTAAAGGCCAAGATTGAGTGTGTCAACCTCCTCAACCTCTCACGCCTGCGCCCACGCCCAACCCTCGACGCCCAAACCGCATTGACCATGGTTCGATTCCACATCCGCGCGCATTGTTTTTCTTTTTCCCCTACTGTCCCGTCCGCGCTTCCTCTTCGCATGTGGCTAGTGACAGCGCTATGGGAATCTAGGCGAAGTGTCTCCGGTCGTTAGTTGGGTTCAGGAAGGTGGAGGAGTGGCGGCCGCAGCAGCAGCATCGTAAGGAGGATGCAGATGTTGGAGTTGGACTTGGACGAATGGTATGCGCCGGGTTTCTTCCAATCATTATGTAGTTCTGGCGTATCTTGGATCTAAAATTGGTGGTTAGTGCATTCATTTTACTTATTGCCTAGATCTATGTGGATTATGCAAGAATCATTTTTCATATCCAAGTTAATTCAGTTAAAATTGTTAACAAAAAAGGGTGAACTATTTAATCAGGCTTCTTGATCATATCATGACAAATCCTTCGCGTGTACTGATCAGTGTTTGTGATCCATCCTTATGCATTGTTTGTATTAGTTTCATTGGCACTTCTTGAATTCTGAGAACATAAATTCTTGGTTGTTATGCAAATGTAACATCTTCAAATTAACTGATGGATAGGTATAACTTAGTAATGCCAAACCTTGCATTCTGGCTTTTTATATACATATATGGACAACATATATTTGTGCCACACTTCCCTAACTAACCTGTTATGAGTATCACTATGGGAATCAGGAGATTTGCCGAGTGCCCCTGGCACTCGGCAAACCCTTTGCCGAGTGTGACACTCGGCAAATGACACTCGGTGATTTTTTATCAGCAAATAGACTTTGCCGAGTGTTTTTTGTCGGACACTCGGCAAAGACTTCGCCGAGTGCCCAAAATACACTCGGCAAACATTTTTTTCAAAAAATAAAAAAAAAGCCACCACAAACATTTTTTTTGAAAAATAAAAAAAGCAACCACCAGCCGGTCTCCACCGGCCGCCGTCGGTCTCCTCGGTGGCGCCCTTCCCCTGTGTCTCGCCTTCGCTCCCCGGCTTCACGGCCGCCGCCACGAGCCACCACCGGCCACCACCACCATGCCACCGCTGCCCACCACCTCCACGCCACCACCGGCCACCACCACCATGCCACCGCCGCCCACCTCCACCACGCCACCACCCGCCACGCTGGGGAAGAGAGGGAGAGGAGGGCACGGCCGCCGGATCCGGGGAAGAGAGGGAGAGGAGGGGGCGGCCGGGCCAGATCTGCCACTGGGGGAAGAGAGAGGAGGGAGAGGATGGGGAGGTGCGTCGGTAGTGGGAAGAGAGGGAGAGGAGGGGGCGGCCGCGCCGGATCCACCGCCGGGGAAGAGAGAGTTGGGAGAGGAGGGGGAGGGGCATCGGCGGTGGGAAGAGAGGGAGAGGAGGGGGCGGCCGCGCTGGATCCGCCACTAGGGAAGAGAGAGGAGGGGCGGCTAGGCGGATCTGCCACCGGGAAGAGAGAGGAGGAGAGGAGGAGGGGAGGGGCGCAGTGGTGGGAAGAGAGGGAGAGGAGGGGCGGCCACGGCTGGATCCGCCACCGGGAAGAGAGAGGAGGGGGAGGGGCGCCAGTGGTGGGAAGAGAGGGAGAGGAGGGGGCGGCCACGCCGAGGCCGGATCCGGCCTCCCCGTGCCCCACCGTTGCTGGATCCGCCCGCGCCGGGGCCAGATCTAGTGGAGGCGGTGGAGGAGGGAGGGAGGTGCGCCGGCGAGGGAGGAGGGAAGGGCGGGCCGC